TTCTCTGGGCACAATGGGCCAGGGTTCCAAATGCACTGTGGGTCCTGCTTATTGGATGAGGGCAGGCACAGAGTGGGGGTTCCAAGGTAGAATGGAGGGGTTCACTGAAGGAGGACGGCCTGGCTAGTTGGGGTGCCATTAGATTGGAGTGACTCCATGGAGGTGGCTGGCAAATGCCCAGGACATTGTGTTCGCTAGGATTACCAGACACCCATGATGATAATTATATGGCATCCCCTCAAAGCAACAAGATCAGCAAAGAACAAAGCCCTTACACTTCCAGGCTTGAAAAGGGAGGGGCTTCTTCCCATTGGCTGGAGGGAATGGGGCAAATCAATTCAGATGTGCCCTCTAAACACACTGAAATGAGGGTCCACAGAACTCTCAGGGGTACCGCAAGGAATTATGAATGGTTTAGTTGTCTCCAGACATAGTAACAGAAGATCCACTCAGGCCACCGGTCCTCACAGTGTGATCCTTGGCCCAGAAGCAGCAGCAGCCCTGGGGAACTTGTTAGAAATGCATATCTCCAGGCCCCCCCCCGACCTACTGAATCCTCTGAAGATGAGCTCCAGGAGATTTTACCAATCCCTCCAGGCCATTCTTCAGCATGTACAATTTGGAAACTACTGGCTTGGGCCTTTTCTCCTGATTTCCTGACTGATGGCATCAGTTCAGTTCAGTTCAGTCGCTCAGTTGTGTCTGACTCTCTGCCATCCCATGAATAGCAGCACGCCAGGCCTCCCTGTCCATCACCAGCTCCCAGAGTTTACTCAGACTCATGCCCATTGAGTCGGTGATGCCATCCAGCCATCTCATCCTCTGTCGTCCCCTCTCCTCCTGCCCCCAATCCCTCCCAGCATCAGGGTCTTTTCCAATAAGTCAACACTTCACGTGAGGTGGTCAAAGTACTGGAGTTTCAGCTTCAGCATCAGTCCTTCCAATGAACACCCAGGACTGATCTCCTTTAGGATGGACTGGTTGGATCTCCTTGCAGTCCAAGGGACTCTCAAGAGTCTTCTCCAACACCACAGNATAGATGGTTTTCTGGAACTCGCTTGCTTTTTTGATGATCCAGCAGATGTTGGCAATTTGATCTCTGGTTCCTCTGCCTTTTCTAAAACCAGCTTGAACATCTGGAAGTTCACAGTTCATGTATTGCTGAAGCCTGCCTTGGAGAATTTTGAGCATTACTTTACTATCGTGTGAGATGAGTGCAATTGTGCAGTAGTTTGAGCATTCTTTTGGATTGCCTTTCTTTGGGATTGGAATGAAAACTGACCTTTTCCAGTCCTGTGGCCACTGCTGAGTTTTCCAAATTTGTTGGCATATTGAGTGCAACACTTTCACAGCATCATCTTTCAGGATTTGAGATAGCTCAACTAGAATTCCATCACATCCACTAGCTTTGTTCACAGTGATGCTTTCTAAGGCCCACTTGACTTCACATTCCAGGATGTCTGGCTCTAGGTGAGTGATCATACCATTGTGATTGCATAGTGGCTATCAATCTTGGTTACACAGATGTAGTCCAGTGCTAAGCCTACAACTCAGAGCATTTAAATCAGAATCTCTAGGACTGGACCCAGGGATCACGTATTTTAAGGATCCCCAGGTAATTTCAACATGCAGCCAAGCCTGAGACCCACTGATTTGGAGCAAGAATTTGAATGAAGCAGTAAGTCATTCATAGCATTTGTGCATGAGAGTATCAATCAACTTGGAATGCTGGGAGTTTCTACATTTTCCTTTGTTCAAAGCTTTTGTGTTGTTTTTCCCACAACTACTTTCTCAGTTGTCCTCTGTAGGTTCTGCTACCTCAAGAGAAGTTCTAAACACACTTGTCCCTCATACCCATTCATCTACTGCTACCGCCATACAGTTGTTAACGTTGCTGAAATCACTGACTAAAGGTAAGACCCAAGAAAAAGCCCCATTCATTCCAGGTTCTTAGGATCCAAAATCAGTTTGCAAATTAAAGACAATTATGTTTCTGTCATATGTGTGTTTCTTCTCTGTTGTTGGGAATTGTCTAGAGTATTCTTGGTGTGTTTATTCATTTTATTCAGCTTTTGGTTCAGATCAGCACCAAAGCAGGTCCCATCTGGTTTATGTTTTGTTTGGCCTTTGAAACATGCAAGCATCTCACCTGCTACTTAACATTGGAGACAGCATGGTGTTTCTTCAGCTAGGCGAGGGTGGAGAGGAAAAAAAGAATCTATTCTTTCCCCCAGTATCCTGCAAACTGTACTGCAAGAAAGCTGGTGAGTAACCTTAAATGACACTTTCAGGTTCTAATAAAAAATACTATGTTTTAAAATGAGGCAATAAGACAGTTTATCTAAGATGTCATCATAAAGGCTGGGCTTACACTTTTAGCTTCAGATCAATTACTTGGAAGTTTTAGAAATCTTCAGGAAGCCCAATTTAGAAACGTGTTCAGTTCATGGAGTTAACACTCTTTAGTCTGCCAATACAAATAAAATGTTCCTTCTCAGAGGGGTTCCCTAGGGTGACCACTCCAGGAATTCTGAAACTACTCTATTTTAAAGAGAAATGAATATTTAATATTTTTTTTCATGTTTCTCTGCACACAGTAGGCCGACCAAATATCCCGATCACTCTGGAACTTTCCCATTTTAGTATAAAAACTCTCATGGTCATGTTTCATCCTGGGCAATTAGGACAGTTGGTCCCCCTGTATCCTGCCCATATCTCCTTGCTCATCAATTTTTTTTACAAAACCTCCCCTTCTGTGTGACTCATGTACCACCTCATCTCAAGCCATCAGTACTTGTGCTTGGAACACACACAATCACACCCAGTTCCTTCCTCACAATAGGAATGCAAATACATTCATTTATTTTTCTCAAATTTCTGTTTCCCATTTTTCTCATGGCCCCATCACCACTCTCTCTCTTCACAGGGATGATTCCAAAAACATCTTGTTCTTTCTAATCAAACTGCCAGAACAAATGTGGAGAAGAAAGGAAGGTGATTCTTGTGTTTCAGAGCTGAAACTAGATGAAAGAGTGCAGCATAAAAGTTAATGAGTGCCTTTTTATTCAATAGCATAAATCTTTATTGCATCTCCCTTAGGTGCCGGATACTGTACTGCACGACATCCGCAGTAAGCCAAGTCCCGGACAGCAAGCTAGTAGGAGAGACAAACCTGCTCTCTTCACTCAGTAAGGCTCCCTGGCATCCTAGATTTCCTTGTTCCTTGACTTTCCATTGAACCAGGCAAATGCATCTTTGGTTTTTGCCATTCCTTATCTTGGGCTGCTAGTGGAAATTGACTGAATACAGTACACTGTCAAATTATTCTTCCTAATCTCAGTGATACCCTAAAATAATTATAGTAAACTCAATTAATTTCTTATAGTGGTTCTAAATTCTGTCCACACTGAAGTGACTTCACCCACCAGTCAAGTAGCACATTACCTTGCTGGCTTCAATATCCTGGGATGGAGTTCTACCTAGCATTCACCTCCTACCTTAAATTCTTCCAAGCTCATTGTGGTCTTTTTCTCTTGCCCTGCTGTCTTAAATAAAGAAATCCAGTTTTTTCTCTCTGAGACTTCTTCTTTTACCCTCTACCCCTTCCTCTTTTAATGTGCTTTTTCTGTGTGTACCCATCTGATGTATTTTTTCTGCCCTTTGATTTCTCTTCAACCTGTTCAATTCAGTTCAGTTCAGTTCCACTCCAGTACTCTTGCCTGGAAAATCCCATGGATGGAGGAGCCTGGTGGGCTACAGTCCATGGGGTCACAAAGAGTCAGACACAACTGAGCAACTTCACGCACTCACTCACTGGACCCATTCAGGGTCAAGGGCTCCAGTTTCAGCTCCATTCTGACCCACCTCTGAACTCTCTCCTGAGCTTTCTATCCTTATTTCCAAACACCTAATGGGCAGCTCCATGTGGCAAAATTCAAAGATCTTCAAACTTAATACATCCGAAATTAAGTTCATGACCATCCCTCAAACCTGTCTGCCTGCGTTTTCTTAGTCCCTGAGTCCATACTACTAGAAATGCCTGCATCAATCTTCACTTTTTTTCTAGTCCAAACTTCCAAGCATCTGCTAAATAACACCAAGTTGTGTTCATCATCAGAACTTTTTATTACAAATGGCGGAATCCCAACTCAAATTAAACAAGAAAAAGAAACATATTAGCTCATGGAACCAAACCATAAAAAAGGATGGATTTGTGTGAATTGTACCAGATTTCTCTCTCCACCTTTCACCTCAGCTTTTGTTTTATTTGCCCCCATTCTTCCAGGTCCCTTCATGTGGAGGGGGCCATGGCTACTAGCAGCCCCAAAGGCACACCCTTTTAACAATAATGAGAAGAGACACTTAACCTGTATCAGGCACAATTCTAGGCACTTCAGAGCCTGTGAAGCAAAAAGAAAGAGAGAACATGCTCTCCACTTCAAATGTAGAAAATCCATAGACAAGCTCTAAATTGAGCCAGCTTGGGTCACGTATCCACCTGCTGAAACAATCACTGGGTCTAGAACCATGAAGTAGAGTAACTTCAGGGTTTGGACCATCCACCAGCCCCTTAGCTTGAGTGATTCAAGTAGGAGGAAGTCTGATGAACCACAGCAGGTGGGAAAACATGCAGGGTTAGACTTCAAGGCAAGAAATGGAAATGCAGAAACTCTACAGTGCTAATTCAAGTTCATGGGTCTTTGTATCACCTTTTGAAAACTGAGGAACCCATCAGGAATTGTATCTGAATAGATGTTCTCGCCCACCAAAAAAATGTACAGAAGAAAACCATGACATTCCTCAAAAGACAGTTTTAACAATACATTAAAAACATAAATAAAGGGTCATCAGAGATCAAAAATGTATGCCAAGAGTTCCTAGCCTCTGAAAAGATAGAATATCTTTAAAAAAAAAAAACCCTCAAACTTCTCAATAATAGTGGTTGTAATGATAAAAAGCATAATGATGAGACAGAATGGCATGCCTTTGTATAATGTTACCTGTTCAGCCTGCAGGTGCCGTTTCATCTCTTGCGCTGACTTTGAGGTCCCAGGGAGGTCTGTGGTCATGGGTGACATTTAGCTGTTTTTTCTCAAAGAACTTCAGAAAGAATTCTACCTGAAAAATTTCCAGAAAGAGTATTGAAATTGACCACTGAAATTGATGACTTCTTACAGAAGAGTCTCCACAATGTATCTGTAATTTAACTTTTTAAGATAAATAGTTGGAAAATTTATCCTGAGGTAACTTGACATTCATCATTGTTTCAGACCCCAAACATTGCATCTATGGGCTGGCACTTACTGTCATGCACGGTAAACTCTATTTTTCTTCTATTTCTACACCTACAATTCCTCGGATTATTGATTTCTCATTCATCAGAAGATTTGTAAACATAATAAAGCCTAAATGGAGCACATATGAATATGAATTTGTGATGTGTATAAATTAAGTCTCCCACTGCAACATTCGGGGAAGATATTTCTCCCAAGAACCAATGACAGGTGTGTAATAAGATGCTATTTTCATTCCCCATCATCTAAGGTTTTGGATATAACTGGAAACATTCTTGGAAGCAGGGGGAGGGGATTGTCTGAGTCACTGTTGTGAAAGCCATTATTCTGCATCATGCTCAGTTGGAGTTGGGAATGAATTAGAACAAATGTTCAAGAATGTTCTGTTTCTACATGAAGCTATTTTATCTGTTATCTCTTTCTGCTGCACTTAAATGTGACCAAAAGATCTTCCAAAATGAAATGCAGTCTTGTATGAAATCAAATTGATTTCTCTTATTTGTAATCTACCAGAGGATATTTGTCCTAACTATTAGGGAGCAGCAGAGCTATTGTTTTTATTTAAAAAAAAGAAAAAGGAAAAAAACATTTGGCGTTGGTGTTAAAAAGAAAAAACTATACAGTGTGCTCTGTATTTGAAATTTCACGAATTGTTGATAAACTGGGTTTTTCCTGTAAAGAGAGACATGCAAAAGTCTGATTTTTCCACTTCAGTGTCTACTTTTACCATCCCCAGCACGCTTTGTTCAGTCAAATGTGTATCTGTGTTCAGATAAATGTGTAAATGTGTTCAGTCAAGGTGTCTAAGAAATGCCCCCCTCCATCCAGGATCAAACAAAATGCTGGAATGGAACATCAGCAGAACTCCCTTTGTTCACCTTTTTCCCTCCATGTTTTTTTTCATTGTTAGCAGTGACTGCAACTCAGAAAAAAGGTCCCCTGCTTTCAAACAGAAATGAGGAAAGGCTAAGTCTGTGTGTGCTTTACACAAGTGTGTGTGTGCGCGCGCCCACATGCTGGGATGGGATGGGGGACATTCAATGTGTTCCTGCACAGGAGTTATTTACTGTGTTGAATCAGTCTTCAGATGCTTATAAGATATTCAGCAGGCTGGAAGGAACCTCTCTAGAGGGTGCTAAGCCCCAGATGGACATGTTAGGGAGTAAGTGCTCAGTCACCTCTTCATAGGAAGGCTCGGGAGTCCCCAGGAAGGTGCTCGTGTTGAGAGGCCTGTAGGCTGGCAGAGCCAGCACTGACCTAGGAGGCCAGGAGAACCATGACACCTTAACTGTGAAAAATCAGGGCACCTGACATTGCCTTCAGGAGCCTCCGTTTTTTTATCTATAAAATGAAAAGCTTGAACTAAGTCAGGGATCTTCCACTCTGGCCACACAGGAGCCTCATTTGATTTTCTTGTTTTTAATAATGATAAAGGGCCTTACCCCAGACAACTTGAATTAAACCTTCAAGGATGGAACCCAGACATGATTATTTTAAGCTCCCAGGTGTGTCTAGGCACAGCCAGGGTGGTGGCTGGGTGGTCACCAAAGTCTCTCCAGTGCAGGCTCTACAGGACTTGCTCCGGTCAGATCGAGTGTCTGTTGGGTCAGCTCTCTCTCCTCAGCAGGCCACACTGCCCAGTCGTTGTCTGTCCGATGGAACTTTCCATATTTATAAGACACCAGGGCCAAAGCTCCTAGAGGATCTGTGAAAACAGTCAATGTCATTAATTTTACTAACCAACTTAAAGAGTGAGGAGTTGGAGGGAGGGGGGGAAGGATGCATTGTTTAAGGGGAATCATTGTGGTTCCTAGGAAAACTGCAGGACAGCACTGAAGCTGCAGGGAACTCTGCATGGCGAGCTCATTTCCCTGTTCACCTCCAGCTACAACATCTCTTCTGCAGCCCAGCACTGTGCTGCAGAGATAAACTAATTTAATCAGTAGCAAGAGCTGCATTTTGATCTTGCAATCAAGTCACATAATTTCCTTTTCCAGGACAGCCCCTCACTTTTCTCTGTTCTGTTCTCTTGCCTCTCAGAGTTTTCTTTCCCACTGGCTCCCATTTAACCCATCCATCCCCGCTTCCCATCCTCCAAAGATCTGCCCACTGCCTTGTGCAGCCCCCTACCCCAACCCTCCACATAATGTGTTTTTTTAGTCATTTCCCACTCACCCTACTTTGTATGCTCTGGCCCTCCTTTCCCACTTCCCCATTTCCCAGCCAAGATTGCTGGGCCACCGGTGGCTATGAGGATGTGAAAATCTGAGCCACAGGCATGAATAATGAATTGGGAGCGGCAGACTGAAGCCAGTCGGAACTGAGAACACTATTTCTGAAATGCAGCCAAATGACTTAGCAAGAGGCGATGTGGAGTTATTGCAATCCCTGGAATTCCTGGACGCAATGGTAATTATGAAAACGCAGTTTTGACAAAGTACGAGTCTGATGGAAGTTCCAAGGCTGATGGAAGTGTCATACCCTGCTTTGGGCTGAAGTGAGAGCTGTGAAAGGTATGGCAACACTTGCTGACCCCATTGGACTGAGGGACTAGTGCAATCACTGGCAGGATGGCCTGCTTCCTCATTCCAAGAATAGCATCACTACCCTGAGTCCAGTGCAGCTGGACAGGATGGTGAGAGGGGCTGGTGCTGGAAACTCCATCTGGCTGTAAGGTCAGGGAAGTGGAGAAATCTGGAACTTGAGGTTGCCAGGATGGGTATAGGCAGAGTCGTCTGCTGCTCTTCTAACTCATTAGAAACCAGCCTAAGTACCAGCCCTCAGCTCTCCTATGTCTGATCCTCTACTGTTTCCATTTAGTCAGAAACCTCCTTTGGACCTTCTCTTTACAAGCAAGACTTGATGGATGGGTCTATGGAGTCTGTGCTTCAATCTGGGGACTTGCTGGAACTGGTTAGTGAATGAGGGCCTCCAGACAATCTTCATTAACATTCTGGCCATCCCTCGAGTCCTTTCCCATTTGCCCTCCAAATGCTGCCAGACATCTTTGTGAAATATAAACCTGGTTATTGGACTATCTGCCTAGAAACCTGTTAGCGGCTACTCATGGGCTCCAGAGTGGAGGCTAAATTCCTGATCATAGCATCCAAGGCTGTCTGTGACTTGACCCAAACTTGCATCTCCCAACTCTTGTCTCCATATAGCCCAGAGCTGCTGCAGAGCTTTCTGCTTCGTGACCTTTGCTTCTCTTTACCTGCACGTCTATGCTCAGCCTGTGTCCCCAGCATCCCTGTCTCCTGCATCAACACCCATTTATCCTCCCAATACCCAATGTAGGAGCCCTGCTTGCTAGAATTCCTCTGGAGCTCTCTTATCAGAGGAACTCTCCTCCCCTTGTATTCCCATCTTATCTGCTGTTTACTACTTAATGAGGGAAGGATCTCTTTGTGAGCGGGAAACGTGTTACCCAGCTCAAAATCATTCTGCTCATCACATAACATGCCAGTAAATCAGGAGAGGAGTTGTTGGGGTGAGGGGAAAGCTAGCAGACCCATAAGACAGCAGACTAGTGTCTCAAAAACCCATCTTCCCTCAGTCCAAAATTCAGTTCCTTTTATACAGAGGAAGGGGAGGGGGAGTGGCCCAGTGTGATGCCAACCAGTGGCTGAAGCATGACTCCTAAGGGTTGCTTCTTGACAGCAGCTCCCAAAGGTCGCTAACTTAGAGGAGGGTCCCACTGCTGACCAATGGCTGAGCAGGACTGTTAACGGTCGCTCACTGACAGTTGCTCCCTGACGGTCTCTCACTAACGGTCTCTAACGGCCGCTTGCTTGGGGGAGGGGTCCACTGCCAGGGGGACCAATGGCTGAACTGGAACACTAACAGAGGCTCGCTAACAGCTATACACCTACCCTGCCCCTATTACAGAAGACATTCTGGAGGCAGAGATTCTGTCCCATTCACCCAGGAATGCTCCCTGCATCCCACATGATGCCTGGAATACAGTAGACACGTATTAATGCTTATGCAGAGAATCCTGGCTAGAACAGAACAGGAAGCTAGGATCGCAGGACTCCCATCTTACAAGAACGGACGTTCCCATAGTCCCTGCCTTGAACAGAGGTCCGGACTTCCGAGCCACGCTCTGCTTCCCATCCCTCTCCATGGAGAGCTCCCAGCACCCGCTTCTCAGATACCTCCACCTCGAGTCTGACGTGCTGTGATCGTCATCTCAGGGGGTGCGCTGCTCCCAAGTTCTTAGTTCTTGTCATCATTATGCAACCTTGACAGGCAGTGGAGATGCACCCTGGTGACTCAGATATTGCCAGCTGTGAGCAGAAACTTTCGAGCCAAAACTTAGTTCACTTTCCCCGAATGAGGGCAATAACTGAGTCAGGAAGGAACTAGGTAGAGCAGATATGAATCTATGTCTGAAAATACAAATGTGCAGAAAAGGTACCTTGAACTTTTCACAACTCGATTTAATTTCTATTTCAAGTCCCATTTTTTCCCTAAGAATGCGAGGTCAGTCTCCCTTTCCCTTTTCTCTAGCGTAGCATCTGAGCACCTGGGAGGGTTAAGGTGGTGTCCAGGTGATGGCGGACCTGGTCTTCATCCTCAGCGTCTTCTTTTCATCCTGGTTCTTGTTGGGAAGCCGCATCTCATCTAATACAGTCTGCCCTTCGTGGTCGCTGAGGCTTCCTCATTCCTGGCCTTTCTGCCACGCTTGGAGACCAAGAAACCATGCTGAGGTTGTAATGGGGCCTGGAGAACTCTGGAAGGCTGTAATAGCAGCAGGGGAAGCCTTCAGCTGTAGAAGTCCTAGTCAGACGGCCCCTCTCACAAGCCAGCAGCCGATTAGGGAGAAAGTGTCAACCAGCAACCGTTAGTGGTCCTGCTCACCTATTGGTTGGTGCCTCACTGGGCCCCTCCCCCAAGCAAGTGACTGTTTAGAGAGCAACCGTCAACCAGTAACCGTTAGTCAGCCATTGGTCAATGCTATATTGAGCCCCTCCCCCTCCTTCTCTTCTCTATAAAAGGATCCCGATTTGGGACAGAGAGTAAATGGTTCTCTGAGATGCTAGCCTGCCATCTTCTTCGTCTGCTAGCTTCCCCATGAAAATCATTATTCCTTGTTCTAACAACTTGACTTTCAATTTATTGGTCTGTTGGGCAGTGTGCAGAATGAACTGGGCTCAGTAACAAGGCCACATCTGCCAAGTCCCATTATAGAGTCATTGTTACTTCCCCAGAACCTTAAAGAAACAGGACACGGGTTCACTCTGTTGTTCTCTTCTTGTGGGGTTGGTTTTCGGTTCCAGAATCCCTCACACCTGACATGGAACCAGGGTTCAAGGCCTCCTTTTTAAGGGATCTACCGGCATCTAAGCTCTCATAACCCTCATTCCAATTCACTCTCCCTCCAATCTGCAGCATCCTTTTCTAGCCAGTGTGTGGGGAGGTGGAGGAGAGAACACTTCCAACTACTCGCCTGAGTCCACAGTCTATTACCTTTGTCCTGTTTCCATTTCCTCAAAGCCTGTTCTTTTGAAACTCACAAGTAGACTTTTTCTTCTTTCCTTTCACATCATTTCCCTATGACAGTGATCACTTACCACCATCCAGTTACTGAATGGAGAACAGGGGTAGGGTCTAGGGGGATTGGGGTGGGTGTCATTAAGAGTGTGAGCAAACAGTATGGTAGCATTTACAGTCAGTCAGGCACTGCTCTAAAGCCTTTATATACATTAGCTCATCAAATCACTACCACTCAATGAAGCAGATACTATTATTCCCAGTTTACAGATGAGGAAATTGATGTTAAGTAGTGACAAGTTGGGCTTCCCAGGTGACTTTCCCTGCCTGCAAAGCAGGGGACTGGGGTTTGATCCCTGGGTTCAAAAAATCCCCTGGAGTAGGAAATGGCAACCCACTCCAGTATTCTTGTCTGGGAAATTCCATGGACAGAGGAGCCTGGTGGTCTACAGTCCATGGGTCGCAAAGAGTCAGACACAACTGAGCAACTAACACTTTCACTTTCAGTGACAACTTGGAGGAGCTGGGACTTGAACCCAGGCAGTCTGGCTCCCGAGTCTGCACCCTTAACCACTAAAATGATAGCTTCTCACTAATCAACACCCTGCCACACATATTATTCTTATTGTAGATTTGAACTCCTTGAAGATATATAGGAAAAAAAAAGTTTAAAAAATATTATAATGAAAACTTCTCCTTATACTCAAAGTGCTTATGCTGAGATCTAGCAAATTTTTATCTTGATGAGAAATCTTTTCATTATCCATGTGAATGTAAAAAAAAAAAAAAAGCCTAGAAGTCTTTAAAAAATAGAATCTCCCACCACTACTGCCACCAACCAACACTTAGCTCCAGCTTCCTAGAAGTGTTTTATCGGGCCCCTCAGCAGCAGAGTAGGAGTTAGAAAGGCACGACCTCCGAAAAGGTGCTGCCAACTCTATATGTGTTCCTCTGTGTGCCCTGAATGCTTCTACCTAATTCTAAGGACTAACATCCCTTTTGAGGAAAAGATGCTCAAGAAAAAACATTTGTGTAGAACAATCATTCTTAAGATTTTGAGGAGTCACAGACCTTTTTGCAATCTAAGAAGTTACCTCCCCAGGAAAAACAACTGCTTATATCCAAAAGCACATATAATTTGGCATAAAATTTTAGGCAAATTACTGAACCCTATACTGTGTGCGAATTATTCCTAGAAGGGAAGTTGTTTTATTCATTTCTGCAACCTTCAACACCTAGCAGAGAATAAACTCACCGAGTTACATGCCTCCTGTCTCCACGCTGGCCCAAGCATGCACACCGACTCTCTGTGGTACCATGAGAGACAGAAAATCTTCCCCTCCCCTTTATCCAGCCCAGATTCTCTGCAAATGCCTGGTGCCAACAAGGGCATTTGTTCCATTTGTTCTTTGTGCATTGATGCCTGTGTTTTTGCCTCCAAGAGACAAACGCTGACTGTGGGATCTGAGTGGAAGTGGCCACTCTGATTTTCAGGCAATTTGGGGGTTGTACATAAAATTCTATACCCTCTTGGAGGCTACGAAGGAAAAGACCAAAGCTCCAGGCCTCTTTACAAGCCCACAGAGGATCCCTCACCCATTACAGCAGGGTAGCCAATTCCCTGACTAGTTTTTCCCTTTTCAGAAGGGAATTCAACACATCAAGTTTTAAAATACCTTTTCAAAGAAAACAATTTAATGGGTTTTCCTGCACCTCAAGAGTATCAGGGAAGTGCAGTTAACTCTGCTTTTCAAGTCACAAATCAAGCAGCAGAGAGGATGTTTGGGTCAAGGCCAAATATTATTTTTTCCATGAAGAAAACAGAGATGGTTCAGATAAATTCTGTCAGCAGCTCAGAGCCCTCTGCAAGAAATCACGGTTCTCTATGAGGGCAAACACTTACATGATTACCATTTGTGGTTAATTGGAGTCACACCACCAAGGGGATTATTAAAAACAAGTAAATCAAACATGGCAGAGACAGTTAAAAGCTCCTGAGAAATAACAATACTTTGTTCCTTTTCATTTTTCTTTTCTCTTCCTCCTATGTTGGGGCGACATGGTTTATCCTTTCTATCCCTTCTATCAACAATCTTTACTTCTTTGATGATTATTTTGTGTGATCTTCTTGTTATCAAGTTTTATATCTTAACTCTGTTCATGGATTCTTATACCTTGAAAAGGGCCATCTTCCTTCCTTACAAATGAACTCCTAAAGCCTTTGCGGCTCCACACCACTCAGTAATTATTCTAGACTATTCCTTGTTATGAGTACATTTATGATTATATAAATTACATACATGTAAAAGTGTAGTAAAATTCCACATGTACATAAAGCACAAAAATAAATTGTAAACAGATAAGATGAAATAATTATAAATAGGGCTCTAACATGTTATTCTTTCTCCTAATGGATTATCCATTCCTCTTTGAGATTTGAACATCCTGCTTTGAAGCACAGATCAAACGTATCATCAGGCAGGTAAATATCAGGGGAAAGCCCTCCACGGGCTAAAACTGGCTGTCAGTTGTAACCTGTTCAGCCTTGGGTTGTACCTGTAATAATCACATCTGTCATTCATATAAGTGAGTTCATAAGAGATGCTCTGTTATGGACTGAATGTGTTTTCCCCTCAATTCCTATGCTGAAGCCCTAACTCCCTAGAGTGACACATTTGGCTAAGGAAGTAATTAAGGTTAAATGAGGTCATAAAAGTAGGGCCCTAATCCAATTGGATTAGATAGGTTCAGTGGCCTTATACAAGTAGACTGAGAGACCTCCCCCTGCATATATATATATATATGTCGGTCTATCTCTCCCAGTAAGCTTGCATCTAGGAAAGACCATGTGATCACACAGCAAGATGGCAGCCATCTGAAAACTGGGGAAAGAGCTCCCAACCCTGCCAGACCTTGATCTGGGACTTCCAGTGTCCAGAACCATGATAAAATAGATTTCTGGTTGTTTAAGCCACTTGGTATTTTGTCATGGCATCAGAGCAGAGCAATCTACTCTCAGAAAACTCAC